CAAATTCACATGGACTGCAGAAGCGCTGTGGGAAAAAGGGACAGCATGGCAGCTAAGTGAGAGAGAGGGCTCTGACCCCTGCTTGGACAGGCTCCTATTGCTTTTCTGCGCACATTATGTTGAGGATGGTCCTCATTTAATATGCACAGGTTGCCTTTAGATGGTTACCTTTCACAGACAACAAAGGAGAGGAAGTTGCTAATTACTAGAAAGAAAAAGGATATTTGCAAATGTAAAGAAAAAAGTGGTTGAATTGGTTACACTCCTCCTTGGGAGGTTTAGCATAGATTTTAGGAAGTTACTTTAAAGATATACAGTAAACATTTTCTTCCTCAATTCAGGGTGAGGGAGTTCTAGCAAAAGCAAGCCTCATAGCAGCCCAGGCACAATGCAGGCCTGATTCCCCATGGGAAAACCTATCCGTGGGCTTGCGTCCTGTTTGCTGATTTGCTCCCCACTGGATTTTCTGAGTCGGGGGCTGGGCTACACTCCCTTTACCACACAGAATGGTTCCCTGTTGTTTCTCAAATGACAGGGTCAGCTGAGCTCTACAGTGTATACATATGTATCTGTATATGGATAATTCAAGCCATTTAAGTGTTTAATTTTTCTCCTATATTTTCTCATTGCTGTTGCTAGTATACTAGAATTGCCAATTATTTCATAGTTCAATTTCACTGTAAAATAAACCACAATTCAAGCACATATAAGAATAAGCACTTATTCTCATGCTCAGTAATCCACAGCTCAGCTAGGGTGACTTCACATCAGGTTGTATGTCTATGGGTCAGCTGGTGCCTCTTTGCTCCCTGTATGTTCATTCTGGAGCTCAGATGAAAGCAGCAGCAACAACAGTTTGCCATTGGCTACTTCCCCCCCCCTCACATCTTTACTCAACTTTGCAGCAAAATTCTTTAAAACAGTGGTCTAAAACAGGGGAAGACATCACAAAAAAAGATACCAGTATGGGTAATTATGCAATTATAAAGGACAGTATAAATGCTTATTTTCTTCTCTTAATTGATTTCAAAAGTTATTGTATAAAACAATATGTATGTAATTGTATTGCTGTGGCTGTAACATATAGAAATGCAACACATTTGCAAATAGCACAGAGGTGTGGATAGGAGCAAAACTGTACTAGACTAAAGAAATTAAGCCAGATGGTAATTCAGTCCCCCAGGGACAAATGGAAAAAATCATAAATGGTAAACAAAAGATAAAAACAAGCTATATAGATATATGCTTGTTTTCTTTTTTCTGAATTTTTTAATTAACATAAAGAACATAAATTATAATTAAAAAGTATTGCAGTGTATTGTTGGCTTTGTTGTATATATTAATGTAATAAGTATAACAATAATAGCACAAAAAGGAGGAAGAAAGAATGGATGTTTATAGGAGTAACATTTTTATATCTCAGTGAATTAAGTTAATATAAAAAAGTTGAGTCTGATAAATTTGGATGTATATGGTAAGCCTTATAGCAAATAACTAGAAAATATAGTGAAAATTTTTATTAAAGGAATTAAAATGTTACACTAAAAAGTCCATTTAATAAAATAATCCACAACACAAAAGCAAATAGTAAAGGAGAGAGAGAGAATAAAAAGTCATGGCATACAGATGCAAAATGTAAAAAGGCTGATGCAAATCTAACTTTATCAATAATAACATTGAATGTGAGTTGATTAAACAATTCAATCAAAGGTAGATGGGAAAAAGCATGAACTCACTATGTGCTGTGTCCAAAGTACACATTTTAGAGTAAAAAATGCAAATAGGTCAAAAGGTAAATGATGGAAAAAGATATAAAGTATTTACCAAATGACAACTAGAGAAGCTATACTAAGGAGATCAGACTAAATAGATTTTAAACAAATGTTCATAGCATTATTCATAATATGCACAGGTGGAAACAATTCAAATATCCATAAACTGATGAACAGATAAACAAAATATGATATAATGGCATTGTTAATAAAAGGAATAAACAAATAGCAACAATACCAAACCCTGTGAAGGATGGAGAATCTGATGTCCAGAATTGTCAAATTATTATCTTCTTAATGTCCATTTTTCTCTTTCTTTTTTGTAATTTCTATGTCTTTAATGTTCTATATTTAGTGAGATAGTATAAATGCAATTTCCTTTGGTTCTTTAGACATATTTTCCTATAGTTCCTTGAACATATTTAAAATAGTGGATTTTAAGTTAAGTGAACTTCTCTAAAGTTCAACATCTGGGCTTGTTTGAGGAAATTTTCTATAGACTTCTGTTTTTTGTTCTTTGTATGGGTCACATTTTCTTCTTCTTTTTCTTGTGTGTGTTTCCCTGATAAATTTAGTGCTATACACTTTCCTCTAAGGTCTCTAGTTTCTTCAGTTCTTAAATATCTAAAGTTTTTGTAACTACATTAAACTTGATTATCAGAGTCTGTCTGTGAAACACTTAGCCATTCCTATGTCAGATCTAATGAGTTGAGTACCATTTATTAATCTACTTTCTAAAATTTTCTCTTTGTTGTGTCTTTATTTTTTAAAAGACTTAATTTTCTGTCATCTCAGTGAATTTTTGAGATTTAATTTATAATTGGTCATGAATAACTGAAATATAATTTTATTTTAAGGACATGAACAGAATATAAAAACTAACTAATAATTTTTAAAGCCAAATAGCTGGTATTTGGACATTCAAAATCTTATTTTGTAGATTTTTTAAAAGGTTGCTACACTTAATAATTTAAAAGGGGGTGTGCTGGTAACTGGAACTGAAGTTGACTGGTTTACTGATCAGATCACAACTTTCACATGTATACAATATATTTGGTGGTTATTTTTCATTGAACTGGCCTATGGATTCATTTATTGTATTTAAACTCAATTTCATAAGTTAGTTAAAAATCTTTTACTCTGGGATTATTGTGACATATCCATGTTTTAGATTCACTCTTTCCTACTGTTTTTCAGTATCTATTCAGAAACAGTTATCTTGTAAACTTATACTCAAGATAACAAAAGCCAGATTTACTTTTTAACAATAATAAATTTATTTTCCTGTATTCCAGGAACTCCATAATCTGTCCACTGTCTATATGCAAGTGTGCACAAATACATTTCATATTCTCTCTGGCATCACAGAGGTTCAAATATTTCTCTAAATATACTTTTTTATTTCTGTGCTTTTTAAATAGTCTATGTCTGACATGCTTCCTGCCATTTCAGAAAACTTCAACAAGTTCTTCAAATCCAGATATTATGACACCACACAGCTCAGAAAATCCACCTTGATACTTGTTAACCCCCTGAAATTTGCTAAGAATATGTATTTAAAAATTTAACTGTTAAAATTTACCTTATGCTAGTCACTGGCATCCTTAATCTTAACAGTTCATTATTCATCTTTTATCCCTAAAACTTCAAAATAACAGCAAGTAAATATTTTGTAATTTTTCATGGAAGCCAGCATAGTGCTAAGGTCTGTAATTAAATACTGATCGACTATTATTCCTATCTTTGGAAGTTGAGTCATGCCATTGTTAATTGGTAAAATTCAGTATTACTTGATAGACTCTTTCATTCTTTATGTATATTGATTGGACAATTATTCAATATGATGATAATAGATAAGTGAAGCAAGTCACCACATGGCTTAACTTTCAAATAGCTGTATTGAGCTCTGGCTGGTGTGGTTCAGTGGACTGAGTGCCAGGTTGTAAAACAAAGGGCCGCTAGTTCAATCCCAGTAAGGGCACACGCCTGGGTTGCATGCCAGGTCCCCAGTGGGAGTGCACAAGACACCACTACCCCACATTAATGTTTCTCTCCTACTTTCTTCCTTCTCCTCTCTCTAAAAACAAATATGTAAATTTTTAAATAACTGTTTTGACACTCAATAGTACAGAAGCACATATCACTGAAAATTATTCCAGATTTTATATTCTGTAAAGAAGTATTCAATAACATGAAAATCTGTGACTTTAGGAATTTAGAATATAGATGATTATAGGTGCGGGGGTATCAAGCTTTGACTTCAAGTCTTCCCAAGACTTGTTTATGATAATCAATACAGTATATGATTTCAGTGACTCTGGGTTGCCAGGTGCATTAAGGCCTTTCTGAAAATACCTATTATAGTCATGTGAAGTAAAGAAAATTAGCTACTATGCATTTTGAAAAACAGCTGTGTGCTATTGACCTGATTGGAAGTTGTTTTAACCATTTTGTTGGAAACAGTTGCAAGAATTCATTGTATCATCTGTGACATCTGTTGTTATAAGAAGTAGCATCTGTTTGCAAATTCACTGGTCTGCTACAATTATGTAAAATGACAATTTTCTCTTTCATTCATTTACTATTGATGAGTGGTGATGTTGGAGATTTTACATATTTTAAAATATGCATTTTAACAAATACAGGAGTACAAAATCACCTACACATTTTATTTTTCTAATTTTATTTAGTTATTTTTCAAGTACAGTTTTTTGTCTATTCCTCCCATCCCAACCTCCCCCGCCCTGTGCTCCCCACCTCCCTCCCATTTCCACCCCCCTTAGTTCTCGTCCCTGTGTCCTTCATATTTGTTTCTCCAAATCCCTCCCCCTTTTTCCCCTGAAATTCCCTCCCCTCTCCCCTCTGGTCACTGTCCCCTTGTTCTCTATTTCAGTGTCTTTGTTTTTTTTCCTGCTTGCATGTTTGTTTTGTTGTTTAGCTTCCTGTTAAAGGTGAGATCATATGGTATTTGCCTTTCAACATCTGGCCTATTTCACTCAGCATAATGCTTTCCAGTTCCATCCATGTTGTTGCAAAGGGTAGTAGCTCCTTCTTTCTCTCTGCTGCATAGAATTCCATTGTGTATATGTACCACAATTTTTTGATCCATTCATTTACTGATGGGCACCTAGGTTGCTTCCAACTCCTGGCTATTGTAAATTGTGCTGCTATGAACATTGTGGTGCATAGGTTCTTTGAAATTGATGTTTTATGATTCTTAGGATATAAAAAAATATGGAATGCTTCTTGAATTTGCGTGTCATCCTTGAGCAGGGTCCATGCTAATCTTCTCTGTATTGTTCCAATTTTAGTATATGTGCTGCTGAAGCGAGCACAAAATCACCTACACATTTTAAACTTTCTGTTTAGCCTTGCCTTCTGCAATGTCTTGGACCCGATACTATTTAAAAGAGAAGTAATCTGCTTCATCTCTGTGTGGAATAGAATCACAACAGGAATTTCCTGAAAAAATTACAAGAATTCTCTCCCACTTTTCAATCAGCAATTTCACATTTTCCTAAAGTCTCATCTATCTAGTTTGTGTCATCACGTTTTTGATTGACTGATTTTTATTAAGGTACAATTGAGGTATAACATTATATTACTCTCATGTGTACAAATAATGATATAATATTTGTGTACATTGAGAAGTGATTACCAAAATAAGACTAGTTAACATTTGTAACCATGTATAAGCACAATTTTTTCCTGTGATGAGGATTTTACATATAATAGCAAATTTCAAACATGCAATACAGTATTATTAATTACAATTACCATGCTGTACATTACATCCTCAGTACCTCATTATTTTATAACTGAAAGTTTGTAACTTTTGACCCCTTCATCTATTTCTCCCACCTCCCACCTTTGGCAATCACCAATCTGTTATCTATCTTTTGAGTTTGTGTTGTAGCTGTTGTAGTCGTTGTCACTGGTTTAAATTTGACATAAAAGTAAGAGCTCGCAGTATTTTTCTTTCTCTACCTGAGTTATTTCAGTTAGTATAATGTCCTCAAGGTCCACTTATGTTGCCATAAATTACAAGATTTTGCTCCTTTGTATGGCAGAATAGTATTCCATTGTATTTATACATATATGAAGTCTGACTGGAAAAAATCCAGCCATTGTTAATATAATGAGATTGGTTTGCATGACATCAATGTAATCTGACAGCCAAGGAGAGTGGACTGGAATGTGCATGCGTGAACAGTGATGATTTCACTGTACTAGTCAGTGGGGGCAGTAGATGCCACTGACTGATCATGTGCACTCTGTGGCCATTGCATTCAAAATGACTGAGTGAGTATAGCAACGAATCTGCATCAAATTTTGTGTTAAGCTTGAACATTCTTCCACAAAAACTATTTGGATGATTCAGAAGGCCACAGCTATGGACAACTGGTGAGTGGCAGCTTCATCATGACAATGTGCCTGCTCATGCATCACGTCTCTTGTGGAGTATTTTAGTGAGACAGCAAATCATCCAGGGGACTCAGCCCCCCCCACAGTTCATATTTGGGTGCCCTGCAACATCTGGCTTTTTCCAAAACTGAAATCACCTTTGAAAGGGAAGAGATTTCAGATCATCTATAGGATTCAGGAAAATATGATGGGGCAGCTGATGGCAATTGGGAGAACTGGGTGAGGTCCCAAGGGCTTACTTTGAAGGGGACTGAGGCAACATAGTCCTATACACAAAGTTTCTTGTATTGTGTATCTTCTTCAATAATGTCTCTATTTTTCATATTATATGGGTGGGTACATTCTAGACAGACCTAGTGAATCTATCTATCTATATATATATATATATATATATATATATATATATATATATATATATCACATCTTTTTACCCATTCATTTACTGATGAACAACACATTTAGGTTGTTTCCATAATATACTGTAAATAATATAATGAACATATTTTTAATTTAGTGTTCTTTTTGTTTTGTGTAAATACCAGAAGCAGAATTTTTAGATCAAATAGTAATTTTACTTTTATTTTTGGAGGAATTTCCATAATTGTTTCCATGGTGGTTATACCAATTTACATTTCTACCAAATGTGCACAATGGTTCCATTTTCTCCACCATGCCAACACTTGTTATTTATGTTTTTGATAGTAGCCAGTCTAACAGGTGTGAGTTGATATCTCATTGTGGTTTTGATTTGCATTTACATGATGATTAGTGATGTTAAGAATTTTTTTGTGTACAATATGCAATGTCTATAGATCTTTGGAAAATGTCTCTTCAGATCCTCTCATGTTTTAAGCATTGTTTTTGCTATTGAGTAGTATGACTATTTGCACACATTTAGTATAACTATTTAACTCTCTTTCTTAGTTCTTTTCATATGTCATGCACATTTTCATCTAAAATGTATCATGGAAATAGAGATAAATTCTTAGATACATGCAGTGTTTCAATACAGAATCAAGAAGAAACAAAAAAATCTGAACATACTGATTACTGCCAAAGAAGTCATATCACTAATCAAAAACTCCCAACAAAAAAAAGTACTGCACTATATAGCTTCAAAGGTGAATTTGACCAAACAGTCCTAAAGAATTAACACCTATCCTTCTCAACTGCTCAGAAAAAATCTAACAGGAGGAAAGTCTCCCATGCTTATCTTATGAGGCCATTACTGAATTCCAAAGCCAAAGATATCATTAAAAAAAAGGAAAGGAAAAGAAAATTACAAGCCAATATCCCAGAACATTGTTGTAACCATTCTCATTAAATATTAGCAAACTGAATTCAGCCATACATTAAAAAGATTATACACCTGATCAAATGGTATTCATTCCTGGGATGCAAGGTTGCTTCAATATCTGCAAGTCAATTGATGTGATATACCACATAAACAAAATAAAGAATAAAATGAGACAATCATATCAATAGTTGCAGAAAAAGCATTAGACAAAATCCAGCATTTGTGATAAAACCTCTCAGCAAAGTGGAAATAGAGGGAATATACCTCAATCTAATAAAGAGCTTATATAACAAACCTACAGCTAACATCATACTCATTGGAAAAAGCTAAAAGTGCTTACCTTGAGATCACAGACACACACACACACACACACACACACACAATTTAAAATGGGCACAGTACATAAAAAGACACTTCTCCAAAGAGGACATACAGATGGCTAATAGATATATGCTCAATGTCACTAATTATCAGAGAAATGAAAATTAAAACCACAATGAAATATCATTTCATACATGTCAGAATGGCCACCATCAATAAGTCAACAAACAAGTGTTTGCAAAGATACAGAGAAAAGGGAACTCTCATGCATTGTTATTGGTGCAGCCATTATGGAAAATGGTATGGAGGTTCCTCAGAAAGTTAAAAATAGAACTACCTTATGACCCAGCAAGTCCACTTCTGAGTATACATGCAAAGAAATCCCAATAAGTAATTTGAAAATATATATGCATCTCTATATTCTTTGGAACATTATTTACAAGTGCCTAGATATGAAAGCAACCCAGGTGCCCATCAGTAGATGAGTGGATAAAGAAATGGTCCATGTATACAGTGAAATATTACTCAACCATAAAAAAATAAAAACCATCTGCAACAACATGAATGACCTACAGGTTACTATGCTCAGTAAGTCAGACAGTGAAAGACAAATACCATATAATATCATGTATATGTGGAATCTAAAGCACAGAATAAACAAACAAACATTAAAAAAAGAAACAAACTCATGGATACAGAGAATAAATAGACTGAGGGTTGCCAGAGGGAAGGTGTATTGGGAAACTGGGTAAAAAAAATGTGAAGTGATTAAAAAGTACAAATCAGTAGTTACAAAATAGTCACAGGCATGCAACATGCAAGCTACAGAATATAGTCAGTAATAATGCAGTAACTATGTATGGTGCCAGGTGGTTACTAAAACTCTTGGGGAGGTCATTCCATACATTATACAATTGTCCAACCACTATGCTGTACGTTTGAGACTAATAGAACATAGTATTAACTGTCAACTATAATTGAAAAATAAATATGAGTGAATTAATTAAATAGATCATGAACCTATTTTTTCATCTCCCATGGCTTATCATATGTCTAAAACATGAAACTATGTGTTTTCAATTATTACACCAAGTATCAGTTCAATCAGAACAACACATCCCCAGGCAGAATTCTTCTTCTGGCTTTGGTTTCAGCCAGAGTATTTCAGCTATTAGTAATAGGAAATGCTGGAAAAGCTCTCAAGCAGTTAGGACATTATTATCTTATAAGATGTCCAGGGGTAAAGCATCTGCAGGGTTGCTTATTTCAGCAACTTTAGGATATCATCGAATATCCCTTCATTTATTAATTCACTCATTTACTCATCCAACAAATATGTACTAAGCACCTATTATCTATCAGACTTCATTCAAAATACGTGACATACATCAGTGAATGAAAGTCGTCGATCAGTGCCTTATGGGATTACATTCCCATTGTGGGTAGCAGATAAAAAACATACAGCACACACATTAAATAGTAAATATTTAGAATGTTAGAAGATAATGGAAGCTTTGGAGAAGAAATGAGTAGAAAAAAAGATTAAGAGCACTGAACTTGCAAATTTAAGCAGGATGATCCACCTTTGAGAATGAGGCATGCATGCAAAGTCTTTGAGGAGGTGAGGTGGTTGTCCAGGCAGATATCTGAGGAGATATCTAATTAGAGGACAGAACTAATACAAAAAGCACAACAGACAGTTATGCCTGACAACTTGAAAAGGCTGTAAAGATGTCAGAGAAGCTGTAACAAATTGAGCAAATGATAGAGTAGAATTCCATTTAGAGAGGGAGTCAAGGCTTTTTAGATAAGTTTAAATGCATTGGCTTTTATACAGTTTGAAATATTAAGTAATTGTTGGCTTTTAATTAAATAAATGGCATAAAATAATTTACTATTAAAAATCACTCTGACTGCTTTATAAACAATTGACTGTAGACACAAGTGGAGCAAGGTTAGAAGCAGTGTTGCAATAATCCAGTAAAAACAATAAGAGCTCATAGCAGATGGCTGGTGGTAGAGTAGTCAGTAGAATCTGGGTGTATTTTGAGGGTAGAGAGGATATGCTGCTTAAACAAATATAAAATTTGTTTGAAATTTTTGTGTTTTTATTATTAATGACTTGGATAATTAATGATCAAGTAACAGTAATAGTCCTTAACAAGTAGTTCAATTAAATAACATATACTCCCTTATTCTATTTACCATAAAGCACTTTTCACCTAACCAAATAAATATTATTCTTAACTTAGAAAATAAATAAACTATTCAGGAATCATCAACAAGATTATA